ATTGAGGCCAAGACGACTCAAACTACTCCTATAGTCGACCATATTGGCTGATAACTTGCGTAGCTGAGTCAAAAGGCAGTACTTGTTGGCTAGCTCATTCGATCGTCCCGTCTAGCAAGCCTCACTTGGCCTACTTTGCCAGCCGACAACTTGCGAGACAAGCTAAAAAGGTGGCAGTTCTCAGCTCTTGACCAAACAAATAGAGTGACAGCAGTTACCTTGAACCCCTCGCCAGTCGAACTCTCTCGCTTAACTGCTCTGACAAAATCATCATTGCTCTAACCCCATTAGTATTTATAACTCATTGGACCTGGTCAGCTCCAAGTACCTGCTACCATTCCCTCATTAAATAAGCAGATGACTTACCTTCTTCCATGGACGACACCTGGAAGGTATCTGCCAACTTAGCAGCCTGACTGGATTTAGCTAAAGTTACCTTAATATCCCTATGATCTACTATAAAAGGGAACCGTGCTGCATTGGGTACCTACTTCTACTTTTTGGCCAGTATGAATAACTACTTATACAATTTGTCTTTCATTTTCCCACTCAAAATTAAAATACTGACTTCATTGTCGGAGAAACAACAGGAGAACCCAACTCCTCCCCCTTACAAATTTTTATGTGCAGGAAAGAGCTGTGGTTTCTAGAACCAGCCATCTGAAGGAGTTTGAGGATCCTATATATGCAGGCCCTTGGCGCTATGCCCTATGAATAAGAGGAGTAGTCCCTTGACCAATATCAATAGGACATTTTGGATTTTTGAATAATCTATTCATGATAGTCCTCCTAAAATTTTTATTATTCTTAACACAAAGAGTAGGGGTAGGCTTTCAATGTCTAAAATACACTCTAGTTCAAACCTCAAACCCCCCCCCCCAACAACCAAATCATAAAACCAAACTTTAAAAAATATACATTAGCATGTGCATGAAAAAAATAATTACTTCAAATATACATTGTAATTTTCATGTCACTTACCAACAATACAGAGGTAAAACCACTCATGCACCTAGTAAATGGTCATTCCCAACCCCCTCAAAATAATAGACTTCTTCGCATTCTTCCTCTTTTTAAAGAATAGTAAATACTACATGACACCAATTATAATTCTCAAAAGTGGACAAGTGCATATCTAAACATGTCATACACGTCCATGAGTATAATATGAAGCCAATAATAAAGGCCACAATGAGTTTCACACAAACTATATGGTCTTTTTTGGCCATATCTACAATAACCATTCTATTGCGCTTTCCTAAAATTACCCCCTCCATTTCCTCCTCGACTTTCTTCTTCCCCTACTCCTACTATCCTTCTTGCCCTTCAGTGTCTTATAGTTTTTTACAAATTGGGATAGATTGTATTAGCTAATGTTCCTGTCATTTTTATCATAATTTCCTCCTTGGGCAAATCGGTTATTCAGTGCACATCCTCTATACCAAAAACATACTCTTTATGCCTAATTGTAATGAGCATTTATCGGGATTAAATTTCTAGACCAAGCAATCAATGTATACTTGCTCATTGCTTAAGCAGGTTGGTACTCAAAGAAAGTTGGGAAAAGGGGTCTTCCTAAGAGCTTCCGTATATCTTTCATCCAGTACAATACACTTATCAACTAAATCTCTAAAATAAACATATTGGAAGGAATTATGCATTAACAATTAAATATAATATACCATTTAAAATCACTTAAAATTTTCATATCATCTACTCCCATCTTATTTTCTTTTTTTTTTATGTCTGGCCTCTATGTATTTTTTGCAAAACTATAAAACAAGTTAAATAAAACACAAAATTCTAAAACTTTACTTATAAAGAAGAAGAATTCTTGCATTTAGAGGAGGAAGATTTTGTTGCTTTTGAAGAACTCCTGGATGTCGACCCCTTCACTTTATTAGAAACCATCATTGCATCGAAGGGAATTTGGGGGTAATGTTTTTAGTATTTGGGGCTAGGTCTACTAGGATTTGAGAGAAGTGACTGCTGAAAGTTGATTTTGGGACTACTTGTTTTAGGATTCACGGGTGACAATGACTCCAAAATGAACTCATGGCTAAGGCTTCAAGTAATTAGGGCTGACCATAATAGCAACTCTATGTTGCGCAGAGAGCTTCGATTACTTTATCATGGAAGACGATAGCAACTGATTTAGGTCTAAAATCTTCAAAAATTTAGGATCGAAAGTAGAGAGAATATTATGAGTGTTTGGGGGAACAAGAGAGAGATTTGCGATTTTGATCTCAAAATCTAAATTTACGTGGGTTAAGGCGAGTTTGATCTCAAAATCTAAATATATGAGGGTTAAGGGGAGTTTTGGTATTTTTGAAATACTATATGAAAATATATGGCTTAATAGGAAATGGTTTTAAAAGTAAGTGGGTGTGGAGATTTTAGGTTTATAGATTTAAATGAAACTTAATAGGTTTTTTGATAAATGGGGGCAAAATTTTGGGTCTAAAAGCAAAACAAACCCTAAATAATAAAGAACCTCAAATTCCTCCCATAAAATTGGAACTCAACGTATATGAAGGTATATCAAGTACCAAATTATAAAGCACAATTCTCTTTATAACTTTAAAGTTTTGATGCACCGAATGTGATTTTAGGACTTAGACACCCTTTTCTTCGACTCTCGAGAGGGCACATACAAAATAATGGAAAGATGGAAGTCTCAATAGGAGTGCAGATGGTCAGATAGGGCTCGAGTATAATACTTATTATATTCATATCTGCTTGCCAACCACATATACAAGTACTGATACAGATATGCCTCGGTAAGGAAAATCGATACATACCCCCTTCCAACCTAATTTTTCTCCATTTTGGTGAATCAGCTCTTATCAGAATTATAAATATTACAATAAGAAAAACTAATACCTATATTTTTTTTACTTTTACCTTTCTAAAAGAAAGCCGTTCCCCTATTACGACAATACATATTTTATTTCTATTGGAAACGAGGTGATTAGTGGTTGTCCAAAGAAGTCCTAGACATAATAAAATTAGATCTTTCTTACGTTGAACGACCCACATATCACACATTTAACATTTGTTTTAGACCCCTAGAAAATTTTTTATGATTTTTTTGACTCATCTCATGTTTAAGCATGAAAAATAGGCAGGGTCTGCTCTACTTCTTTTAGAAATACAAAGAAGTTACTGTATAACTTAACTCTGCAGATCATCTGTTAATTGTTCAATCAATGACTTCTTTCTTAAGATCTTAAGGTGGGAAATAAAACTAAAAGAAATAGAATTAGAGTACTACTATCTATATGTACATCTAATATATGTACATATATATTGTAATTTAATACTAAAAATAGTATACAATACTAGCAGGTGTGGTAGAAAGAACTATATATCTAGATAAATAGTTTTTTCTACCACACCAGATTAAATACTTAATAAGATACTTTTGATTCTAGCCCAATCATTTCATTTAAGACTTAGAGTTTGAATCCCTTCTTTCGTTTCTTGAATGATTGATAAGAACTAAGAATCCAAGTTTCATTCAAATTAAAGAGGATACTAATAAAATAAAATAAAAGGCCAACCAAGCAGCGCCCCTTTCTTCTTCTTAGTAAATTAAATTTCATTTGTTCGACTATTCTTTTTTTTTATACTTAATCCTTTCTTTTTCCATCTCACTTATACTGTTTGGATCTGTGTATGACTCAGAGAATACCAGTCATATGATACCTCATAATTTTATTTACATAATTCTATGTATAAGTAGGAAAGTTGTATACGGAAGATAATAAGTTATAGAAAAGAAAAGGTGAAAAAGGGAATGAAAATACAATGATGTGTATTTCCGGTCCAATCAAAAATGGTATTTTTGATTTAGTATGGATAAAAGATCTTTCCATGTTATACTATTCGATTCTCGACGATGAATTGGTTTGATAGATCAGAAATTGTTATTCATAATATTGATCTGATTCAGTATCATTAGGATGTAATTCATCCCATTGAATTTACAGGAGTCAAATTTATCATCTCTATGGGATTAGATCCCGAGTTATTGCGAAACAAAAAAAGGAAGATTATATTATGGAAGTCAATATTCTCGCACTTATTGCTACTGCGCTGTTCATTCTAGTTCCTACGGCTTTTTTACTTATCATCTATGTAAAAACGGTCAGCCAAAATGATTAATTTGAATGAAACTTGAATTCTTAGTTCTTATCAATCATTCAAGAAACGAAAGAAGGGATTCAAACTCTAAGTCTTAACCCCGAATATATGTGAAGATATACATGAGGATACAAAATGGATTTGAGAAAACAAAATAATATGTGAAGATATATATATACACACACATACATCCCCGAATATATGTGAAGATATACATGAGGATACAAAATGGATTTGAGAAAACAAAATAATATGTGAAGATATATATATACACACACATACATCCCCGAATATATGTGAAGATATACATGAGGATGCAAAATGGATTTGAGAAAACAAAATAATATCAAAAAGTGTATAGTTTGTATGATATAAGAGAGTTCATTAATATGTTTGTCATATTTGAAAAGCTAAGATTAGATCTTTTGATCATCAAAATTAGTCTCAAATTCATTAATCCAAGGATGGAAACAATTGCAGCTGTATAACCAACATATATTCGAATATTTTAGAGATAGATTCGTATCTTTCACTATAACGATATCCAAAATTATATCCTCTCGGCTCTAAATTTCAGTAATTATATCCATATCCTAACGAAAATAGTTATGGATATATCCGCCGATACAGATATGGTTTTGCACTAAGTTTCAACTGTATCCAAGTTCGATATTTCCCGATTATATCTCGTTAGAATGCAGAGAAACAAACCAGAACTTATTATTTCTGAAAGAAGCACGAACATCTTTTAAAAAAAAAATTAAATCATCTACATTTTCACAGATTCGAAAGTAAATTTAAAACTTTTTTCTTGAGAATCGCTAAAATGAAAGCCACGAACACAATAGTGGAAATGTGACCAGATCTAGTTTCATCCTTTCAATTACCACCTAATTAGGGATAATTTGAATCCAACAAACACACGACAAAACCTTCATCCTGAGATATTAGGACAAGGTCATGCCTTCAAGCCCTTCAGTCTTACAAAAACCTGAACAGTGTACAATGCATTAGAGAAGCCATCTACTACTAATTAAATTACCTACAAAAAATCTCGCCAACTGATTGAGCAACAAGTGCCAATATACTCTCCCTCTTCAACCAATCAATTCAATCTCACACTCCCTATCCGTTCCCACTCCTTTCATATGCAACTTCAATTCCCCAAGAATCCCACATATAATTTCCCACTCAGGATGAACTTTATCCCCTGAAACAAACTCCCAAACTCTTCTTCCAATCTCAATAACACTACACCCTGCCTCATTCTTCCCTCCACAACTCCTAATCACCTCCTTCACCCTCTCCACATCAATCCATCTCTTCTCCTCTGCATACAAATTCCTCATCATGACATAGTTCCTCACATTTCCCGGCTCAACCCTCTCAATCATCTTCATCACCTGCTCTGCCCTATCGATATCTTTATAACAAACACACGCAAACAACAATGAACTCAAGATAATTCCATTAGGAGAGTATGGCATTTCTTCAATGAGCCTCTCAGCTTCGTCTAGATACCCTCCTCGGCCTAGGAGGTCTATCATGCATCCATAGTGATTGATCCTACATTGGATTCCAAATTCATTCATCTTGTTAAACCATTCTCGACCTTCTTTTATGAGGCCGCCATGTGCACAGGCTGACAGGACGCCTATCATTGTTATCTCATTTGGTCGCTCACCAAATGAAGTCATATCCGAGAACACATCCAGTGCCTCTGTCGCCTGGCCATTGACAGCAAGTCCGTTGATCATCACATTCCAAGAAGCAATCTCCTTGGCTCCAATTGAGTCAAACACTCGCCTCGCTTCTTGGATATCACCACATTTGAAGTACATGTCCATTAGCGCAGTTGCTACATTGGTTTTCTTATCAAGCCCACTCTTTCGAGCATATCTGTGAATCCATCGGCCCAAATCGATCATGCCAGTTGATGAAATTGCGGGCAAAATGCTAACAACAGTCACATCATCTGGATGAAATGGGCATGCAGCTGATTGAAGCTCACGGAACAACTCCAATGCTCGTTGCGGCTGGTTATTCTTACAATACCCACCTATCATCGCATTCCAAGTGAACAAATTCTTCACCGGCATTTCCTCAAACAACACTCTCGCTGCCTCCATATCTCCAACCTTAGAATACCCGGATATCAAACTAGTCCAAGAAACCACACTTCTTTCACTCATTCCATCGAACAGTTTCCTCGCAGAATCCAAATCCCCAAACCTAACAAAACCATCAATCATAGCATTAATCGCCACAATATCCTTCTCAGGCATTCTCTTAAAAAACTCAACCGCAGAGTCCAAATCCCCCACCATCGCATACCCAACGATCATCGGGGTCCAAGAAGCCGGATTTCTGCTCGGCATTTCATCAAACACCTTTCGTGCGCAACACATTTCCCCAAACTTCGAGTACATGTCAACCAACCCAGTAGCACAAAATGGGTCATCGTAAAATCCCAATTTAATCACATGGGTATGAACCTGAGCCCCTTCCCTTCGTAGAAAAACACAAGATTTGAGAAGGGGAGGGAATGTGTAGGTGTCAGGGGAGAATTCTCGCCTTCGAAGATCGCGATAGAGGGAGATGGATTCTTTGAAATGGCGATGGCGGACGAGGGATTGGAGGATGGAGTTGCAGAGGAAGGAGTCCTGAGAGGTGCGGAGATCGAAGAGGCGGAGGGAGAGGGGGAGGTTGGAGGAGGAGAGAGAGGAGATGAGGAGGGTAAAGAGGTGGAGGTTGGAGAAGAGGAGAGCGCGGCGGAGGAGGAAGGATTGGATTGAGAGGAGAGAGGAGAGGGAGGGTTTTGGGTTTGTTTGGGTTAGGAGACAGAAGCAGAGCTTTTCTTGAGGGGACCAGCGTTGGTTCATGAATGAGAGAATGAGAGAGGAAAGGTTTGGGGTTTTGATTATCAGCTAAATTGCACTTAAATATCTTGTTGTTTTCCAATAAAGCACTTGCATTCCCTAGTTTCCAAAACGGAGCAAAAAAAAAAAAAATACTCCAATGTTAGCCGTGTGAATTTTCTTAACGACATCAAATTAACCTTAAAACATAGAATTTGTTGAGTCTTTTATGTTATTTTGTTAAGAATAAGTCATCCTATTAATATGGGATTAGTTAGAGTCTCTTTGGGTTGTTTTGTCAGTCAAAGTTTGTTAGAGTCTTCTTAGCCATTTGTTGTGATGGTAGAAGATCGTGTCCTTGTTTTTAGCAGTGTTCAGTTGTTCAGTTTGTAAGCCCTACAAAAGGCACTCAAATCTCACGAGTAAAGTGTAGTTATTCTGGTGCAATTGTGATTTTCAGAAGCTAAACTTCACATTTGGTATCAGAGCCAGAGTAACTCAAGAGAGAAATCATGAGCGACGAGAAATCCCTCACAAAAATTCTGCACTTTGATGGTCACTACGATCATTGGAGTGAATTGATGGAGAATCTTTTGCGAGCGAAGGGCTTATGGAATCTGGTAGCCGACGGCTACAATGAACCAGCAGAAGGAGTCGAGCAAACTGCTGCACAAAGGAGAGTTCTAGAGGATCTCAAGATGAAAGATCATCAGGTAAAGCATTACCTGTTCCAGGCGATTGATCGGACGGTGTTCGAACAAATCTTGGATCGAAAAACATCCAAAATTGTTTGGGATTCAATGAAAAGGAAGTTCGGAGGAAATGAGAGAGTGAAGAGATCTCTACTCAACACTCTCAGGAGGGAATTTGAGGTTCTGGCCATGAAGACAGACTAGAAGATTATGGATTACTTTGTGCGAGTAATGACAGTCTCAAACAAAATGAGGAGCAATGGGGAAGCCATGCCAGACTCAATGATTGTCGAGAAGATCCTCCGAACGCTGACAGACAAATTCACATATGTTGTGATTTCTATTGAGGAATCCAAAGATACTGAGAAAATGTTTATTGATGAGTTGCAAAGTTCTTTGGCTGTTCATGAGCAGAAGTTCAGAAAGATCAACACTGAAGAGGATGAACAAGCACTCAATGTCAGAAGCAGAGGTCGAGGGGGTTACAGAGGCAGCCGAGGCAGGGGCAGAGGATGCGCTGTCAACAAAGCACTGATCGAGTGCTATAAATGTCACAATCTAGGACATTATCAGTTTAAATATCCTAGTTGGAAAGAAGCAAACTACACAGAGGAGGAAGAGGATGCTGTCCTTCTAATGGCAGAAGTAGAGCTTCAAGGAACTAAGAAAGATGGTACCTGGTTTGTTGATTCTGGATGCTCGAACCACATGTGTGGTGATCGAGGTATGTTCTTGAGTTTAGACACATCTTTTACTCATGCTGTCAAACTTGGAGATAATCACAAGCTGATTGTCAATGGGAAAGGCGTGGTAAATATCACGCTCAATGGAGTTAGCTATATGATGAGGGATGTTTATTACGTTCCTAAATTGAGGAACAATCTGCTGAGTGTCGGGCAACTTCAGGAAAGGGTATTGGATGTGTTGTTCGAAGGAGGAGTCCACAAGACTTGCAGCATCTTTCATCCCACCAAAGGGAAAATTGCTGAGTCTGTAATGAGTGGAAACCGAATGTATGTCTTACTCACAGAGACTTGCAGCAAGACAGAGGAAGAAAAATGTCTTCGGGCTGGGAATTCTGACAAAGCTGATCTGTGGCACCAAAGATACGGGCATCTGAGTTACAAGGGCCTGGCTATTTTATACAACAAAGGAATGGTTACCGGTCTGCCAGAGATAGGACAAGGGAGAATTACATGCGAAGTTTGTATGAAAAGCAAGCAACATCGGATGCCCTTTCCAAAGCAAAGTTCATGGAGAGTAACAGAAAAATTGCAACTCATCCACTCTGACTTGTGTGGCCCAATCACTCCTCCATCAAACAACCAGAAGAGGTACTTGATAAGCTTTATTGATGATTTTTCTAGGAAGTGTTGGATTTTCTTTGCTCCAAAAAAATCAGAGACATTCTATCATTTCAAATTGTTCAAAGCTTTTGTGGAAAAGGAAACTGGAATGTGTATAATATGCTTGAGAACAGATAGAGGTGGAGAGTATAACTCTGGAGAGTTCAAGGAATTCTGCAATGAGCATGGAATTAAGAGGCAACTGACTACCTCATATACTCCACAGCAAAATGGAGTGGCTGAACGAAAAAATAGAACCATGATGAACATGGTAAGGGCTGTTCTTACAGAGAAAGGGATTCCAAAAGTGTTCTGGCCAGAAGCTGTACAGTGGGCAAATTATGTGCTCAACAGATCTCCTACTTTGGTTGTGAAAGATATGACGCTTGAAGAAGCTTGGAGTGGTGCAAAACCATCAGTGGAACACTTCCGGATTTTTGGGAGCATAGGGCATGTCCACATTCCTGATGTAAAAAGAACCAAGCTTGATGACAAGAGTGTAAAGTGCATTCTATTAGGCTACAGCAGTGAATCGAAAGCATTTAGGATGTATGATCCAGTTGAGAAAAAGATTCACATTAGCCGAGATGTGGTATTTGAAGAAGACAAGGCGTGGGTTTGAGATGCTAGCCATACTACTGAACAAGTTACTGAGCTTGAATCGAAAGAAAATACTGTAGGCATCGAAAATTGCCTATAGTTCTCCACAACCGGTTCAGTGTTAACGAGCGACGATGGACGTCACCATCCAATCCACATGAGCCTAATCGACGTCGACGAATGACTGAAGTGAGTCGGCGAGCTACGTAAGCGGATAGGGTTTCGGAACAACCAAGACCCGGACCAATCGGGAACCCGGCACTGTTCACAAAAAGGACAACGCCCTTCATGCCTCGACCACTCTAAGGACAATCCAACCACCAGAGTGGATTGAACTCTTCATCACGCATCCAACGCACCCGGAATCACTCAAATCCAAGTCCGGACGAAGAATCTACGGGGAAACAAACAAAATACACCTAAACGGAGTCCCGGCCAGTCGAAATACCCCGGGGTGTCTAGGAAAAGCCTAGACACCCGGGTGTCTCGGCCATGGCCGAGACACCAAGGGGTGTCCGCACCCCTTGAGGGTCCCCTAGCCCCCCTCTTGCACTATAAATACCCCCCTTAGGTCCTCATTCAAAGGGCTGGATTTATTTTGTCTTGGAGCAAGGCTAGAGAGAGAGGAGAGGATTTTTAGAAAGCACAGGCGAAGCCCTGCCGGAGCGAGGAGTGAGCGAGCCGTCTACAACAAAGGAGGAGTCTTTTTCTTCTTTCCCCGTCTCTTTTCCTTAGTGTTGCCCCTTAGCGGTGATACTAATATTTTCTTTGATTTAGTTGTAACCGGATCTATAAAAGACCGGATCTTTTGTAACTCAAAAAGTTGTAACTAAAGATGACAATTATCTCATTAATGAAGAAAGCTACGGTTTTTCCCGCGAACAATTACAAGCCAAAAAGTATTATGAAAGCCTTCAAAGGAAAAAAAGATGTGAGGCGGGCTTTAGCCTGGGATATACGAGCAGAATGCTTGGCTCGGACATCTGCTTCAGCCCTCCCCCTCAATTCTTCAGCAGTGGCAGCAGCAGCTCCAGCTCCTCATCGCAAGGCTTGAAAATCCTCCTCTATCTCGGGCTTCAAGTCAGCATTCTGCAATTTCTCTAAGGTCTCCACAGTGCCTGAGAAGAAGTAAATCTTCTCAGCACAGTGAAAAGCCCAGTTGCGGTTGATACGTTTAATCAAGCGCATCACATCCATGAACGAGCTCTGAATTCTGAAAATGGAGCCCATCCCTGCTCAAAAATAAGGTATGCTTGCCTAACCTGTTCTCCAGAAGCTTCGTGAGGAAGTCCACACTCTCGGGGAGTGGAGTAAAAACCTCACCAGGAAGGACTATAGCGAGGGGGTGATCAAAGGAGCATCCTCTGAAATAATAAGGGGAGCAACAGCAGGAGCCCCACCTTGCAGACAAACAAAAAGCAAAGTCAAATAAAATGGGTGAATGCAAACGCAGTGGTCTAGGCATGCGTCAAGATCAGCCTGAACGCAAGGAAACTAGACCCGCGTTGGATCACTATGAATGCAAAACTTCTTCTTGTGTCTAAGATTAAGGGATCAACCCTTCATCTCATCAATAAACACAGAAGTTCCCTTCTGCATTCAAGATCAAAGAACGCATGAATTTTGTTTGTGTCTAAGACGAGTAGTTTTCGTCAATGAACACAGAAACTTTTCCGTATGTTTAACATTAAGGGTTTGACCCTTCGTTACGACAATGGACATAGGAAATTCTTTTATCATCCAAAATCAAGGAGACGAACAGTTTTCGTCAGGAGACGTGCAAGTCCTTTTCACATTCAAGGTTGAAAAGACGAGCCTTATTCGTCATCATCAACCTGAATTCATCTAAAGAATTTCAAGAAAACCTATCGAAAAAGAATGCTTAAACGAAGAAAATAGCGCGACTGACCTTGAGATCCAGTCGCCGGTGAAGGAGGCGTCGATGTCGGTCCGGAAGAGGACCCAAAAGCATTCTCCGACGGCGGTGTAGGGTGCGCCATCTTTTCGTCTCCACTCAAGCAAGACTTCTTGGAAGCTATGGCCAGAAGACGAGGCGAAATAGTAGAAGAACTAACGAGAAGAAACTCGTTTGGGAGTTCAAGAAAGAAGTTTAAACGTTAAGGCTTTTGACAAGACTAATCAAGCCTATTTATAAATAATTAAATGATATAGAGTTCCAAGACTCCCGACAGGTGTGGTCTCTTCGTCATCATTGCAGTCGCTTGGACTTCTGATTAGACGCGGGACAAAACCCTGCGTCCATAAGATTGGCAGGCCAGACTAAACGCAATAATCTGGAGATGTGTTCTTCCAAAAATACGCAGCCTAACTCAAGAGCATGAACGCAGGGGGTACCCCTATGTCTAGAATCGGATTTTTGGAAAATATGCTGCTTGAGTTTAAAACTTCTGCAGAATTTAAAACAAAATAGTTGACGAAGTCTTTCCAATGTTTGAACTCTACCTTCCTCAAAGTTGCTCCGATCGCAACACTTCTAACTTATCGACTCTCACCAATAGAGCGATAGGTTTTCAAAGTTGCTCAAATCGCAACACTTTTAACTTATCGACTCTCGCCAATAGAGCGATAGGTCTTCAAAGTTGGTCCGATCGCAACACTTCTAACTTATCGACTCTCACCAATAGAGCGATAGGTCTTCAAAGTTGCTCCGATCGCAATACTTCTAACTTATCGACTCTCACCAATAGAGCGATAGGTC